TCTTCCGATCTCCCCAAAACCCCAAAACCCCAAAAGGATATTCAAGCAAATACAAAATGGAAAATATCATATATCTTTTAGCATTTTATGAGTTATTGCATTTTTAAATAATCCTGTTAATTTATTCATTTATCAATCTCCTTTACTTCATCACCAGTATCAATCAACATTCCATACTTTATTTTATTTTTCTCATCTCCCTCTTTATCATTCATTTCTTTCACAACATCTTTTAGTGAAAACTTAGCTGTACCTCTTTCCTTAGGTTTTTGCTAACTTTCGTGCTACTTCCAGCCAATCAAATATATAACATCTAGAGTTGTCATTATATTTCTCATTTTATCATTTTTAGATACTTTACCACTCCCATCCACTATAGGTTTGCCTATTCTTTCATCCAATAAATCATTCTAGAGCGTATCTACTAAGATACTGGTAGAATTCTCATCTCTTCTACCAATTGTTCTTTTATTAAAGAGAGTTTCATAAATTGCTGCTGCTGCTATGAAAGTCTCCTCTGAAATAAAATTTCTCTTAGAAAGTAGCGCATTCTATTCTCCAGTTTTCTTAAGATAGTCAAATAGTTAAAAGGTAGAAGTGAATTCATATTAGATGTGAGATATGTCTATAGTAGGTAAGTTAAATTTAGCTTTTGCAAAAATGTTTCCAATGTCTTAGATTGAGAGCAGAGGAGAAGTTATTGTGGAGACTCCGCCATCTCTTTCAGATTCAGCTAAATTTAAACATATTCTCAGTTCTTAGAGAGCGTTACCACCAATTACTGATCCTATAAACACACCATCTGGAATCATGGTTTCTCTGAAGCTATTCAATGTCTTGTCTAGGTCATTAACCCAGTGTAGACTCATATTATTTACAATCAAATCAAGTTAGTCAGTTTTAAACTCTTTCTACCAATCTTACTCCTCATCTATTACCTTAGGTATTATTTGATTTGGTAGATTAGTACCTACCTTCTCATAGAAGCCACTATCTATCTTACGAGTAATGATCTCATATGACTTCTCAACACATTCTTGAGAGCCCTCACAAAAGTAGAGATTTTCAATTTCATATTCCTTAGGCAAGTGCTGGATAAAGAGATAAGGGTTAGGTCCAATAAATGCAATATTTTTGAATGTTTTCTTTATACCCTTAAGTCTATTCACGATATTCATCAGTGGTAGATCGTATAGTGTCATGTAAGGCTTAGTCTCCTTGAAAATTGCAGAGTTAGATTTTTAAGAAAATTTAAGTGAGCGATTGAAGACTATTTAAGGTTTTTTAGTTATATTTACAGCCATTAATATTATAATGCTACTCTTTAAATATTCCAAACACAATATTTGATTCGTTATTAATAGAGTATAAACCATATTTAGTATTTCATTTGTAGTCAGGAATCATTAATTTCAGGACTGTGGGGTTTTGGGGTTTTGGGG